CAGGCCATTTAGATAGCAAGCAATTTCTTTAGAAAGGGTAGTGCCTAACTTTGGGGTAAAACGGATGTTATGTATATTAAATTTCAATATAAATTGTATACCCAAATGTTTTTTGCCTTTATCCATATGGATTATATCATGTGAATATTTTAGAAAATAGGGATGATATAGAGTTATTTATGGTTTCCAAAATCAGTTAAGTGTATGTGTGTTTGTTTTACGTTTTCTCAAAAACTGCTGGACAGATTTTAAATTTGAAAAGTCGTTTGATGTATCTCGATAAGCACTTGTTTGATATATTGATTAGATTTTGTTGAAAATTAAGAAATCAGTACATATTGATAAGTCGAGATTCTGTATTTTTTTGGATGTACATGCACTTTGCCTTATTGTAAAGTCGATAATTCTATCTATCAAGATAGGTTTTTGAAGTAAAACTTCTTTAGACGCGACTAGGGAGTAAATCTCTGAAAATGCAACGGAAGTTGCGTTACGCCCGAACTGTTCGTCATTCGCTCTCGATGAAATTTCTATATGGGTCGATTGTGATTAGTCGTCGTGTCTAGTGAATAGAGATCTTTTTGTACCGGTGTACATCAACGAGGGGATTGAAATGTCATTAGATCTTAAGGTTATAAGGCACCGGAATCAGAAGAATATTTTACCGTGACCCCCGTAAATAATTATGATGAAAATAATAAAACAAATGAAACATTTGTGCCGTGTACAAAACGGAAGTTTGTTGAATTAATTTCTATATTATTCGTAGTAATGGAAAATATTTTTTAGGCAAGACAGATATTACAACTGCTCAAAGAATGAGACTGTATCGCCAGCGAGAAAGTAAAAAAAATACCATCAGTCAATGAATGTATGTTAATTTTAGTTACATGAAGTTCTTCAAACACAATTATTACATTATGAGTGAAGTTGCGAAACAATACTTGTTTAGGCGTTGTTTAACATAATCCACTGTGTGAACGAATATAAGAGAAGTTATTAATCAGTAATTACTTCATTTCTCTAATGAAGGTTCAAGTCCTAAATGCTAATTACAATGACAAACCGATCATGTCACATTTGAAGTATGACTTTAATTACATTATTGTTATTATATTATACATATTGTTATTATATTATACATATTTTTAATGCTATTATAAATGTATAATTTATAATTTATTATCATATAAATATGTATCATGGTTGACTTTAAAAAATGTGTGCTTCACGAGTGTTACCATATTGCTAATAAACATTGCTATCATTTTTATTTCATCAGTAGATACCGAGTTTGATTTCTTAATTTGCCCTGATTTTTTTTATGGATGCTTCCCAAATATTTGAAATGATTCAGATATTTCACTTTACGGTTTCCTACCAATATCCTTTTCCTTTTCGACACTCTCATCACTTCTGATTTGTTGATATTGATCTCCATTCATTATCGTCTTCAGACTTCGACGTTTCTGTTCGAATTTACATATGATGTCCCATACCTTTTGATTTCAATGTAATTTCTATAACTTCTCCGCCTCGGCAACAAATACCCTGGTTTGAGTCGGTCCCAAGACTTTTCATCTCCTCGCAATTTTCTTTGCTGGTGAAAACTCCATTGTATTTTCGTCGGCTTTTATGTTTTTGTGTACCTTTCCAATAATTCACGAAAACCGTGGCGGCATAATGCCTTATTCCGAGTTTCCATTCGGAAATTTTGTTGTAAATCTGACATTTTAGAAATGATTAATGAAATTGGAACAGAAATAGCTTTTGTAATGGAGTTATTATACATCGACATTACGCATCACTTAATCTTGAGGTCGGTTTAATAAAGAATTTGGCCTGTGCGAAAATCGTGATGGATTCGGTAATGGATTTATAATAAGTAATAATGAGAGAGAATAATTATGTTATTCTAGTACAAATTTTTGCAATTCTATTATCAACGTCAATTTACAAATCCGATGATATGTTAAATTTATTATGTATGTATTTTCCAACCGAATGCAAATATGTCAAGGTACGGAATTCGTGTTATTTGCAAAAATTCGGCAATGTTTCCGCTGAACAATATTATCATCTATTTGCATTGGCGAGCATTTTTTACAAGTCCAAGGTTATCTTTCTAGACATATGGTGTGTTGATAAATCGAAATATACATTAGACGGTTTCGATTGTATGAACGATATTGTCCAGGTGGATTTCGGGGAAAGGAAGGATTTCATTAAAAATATTTATTTTGGAATAGAGAACTTTTTGAAGTCGAGTCAGAATTGTTTTATATCAACATCATAATGGTTAGTGTCTTACCAGCTGTATCTTTTATTGCAAATGGACAATTCTGCAAAAAATTTTACCAACAAGAAGCTGCACGTGGAAACTTTGCATAATGGTAGATTTGATGCCCAAACTGACTGGGGTAAAATATTAGAGATCCATGAAAACCATTTTTTTATAAAATTTAATTAAAGTTTGCATTTTAACAGCGCCCAGTATACAGGGCTTGCAAGTTGCAATACTATGAAGCCTAATATATTTCTTCCCTCAGTGTGTAGATACTGAAATATTCTTAAAAATGCAAATTCAAACATTTTTCAATTGCTGAGTACACAATACTCATTGAATCCTCTATTGAGTTCGTGAGATCACATATCACCTAAGTAGAAAAAGTGTCTAGCTGTATTATACAAGTATCTTTCATTCTGCTCATATATTTCGCTGAACATTATCTATGTATAATATAATACAACGAATATATTATATTATATTTATGTTTAGAATTTGACCTTGTCCAGTACGGATGAGACGAAATGCTAATGGTTTGGATAGGCAGGTTTCGGCAACCTAAAGAAATTGGCACATATGTAAAAACTGAATTTTATACGTCGTACTCTATTGCCTTCTCTTTAATCATAATTAATTTTGAAACAATATCATACGGTTCAGAATATTTAATAGAACTTTATATATTGTAAGAATCGTTATATAATCAATAAAATAATAATTATTATAACAGAAAATTTGAGATAGTATAAATTATTTAAAAAAATAACTAGCTAATTTTATGTTTTCTCGACGTTTCAAGCCATTCTGAATCGAATGAGATCAATTCGTATGTGTAATCGATGAGGACTATCGTTTGTCAGTTTTGCGCATCGATCGGTCAAGCCTTTTCATCGTAAATAGCAGAAAAGTGAAAAAATTTTCGGCAATTTTTATGATTTTTTTGATGATAGATACCATGGTCTTATTTTATTGATCATTCTAAAATATTACGGCATAAGACAAGTAGTTTATTTTAAAAATTCATCAAAGTTTTAATAAATATGATAGTCAATATTTGTGTCAAAAGTCGCTTTTGTGATGTGATAAGTCAATCAAGTCAGTTGCAAATGGCTTTGGAATTAGCAAGAAAGTAAATGAACAGTCCACAATAAAACTTTTTTAGTTTTGTAAAAAATGTTACTAATCATTAATTTATATATAGAGATGCTTAATGTTTCTCAATATAATTTAAGTTAAAAAAAAATAGAATAATAGGCTACAATTTTAGGACATACAAGCACGTGTATGTGCTATATAACTAATATACTTACATATATTATAAATGTATTTGATAGATGTCAATTGGAAATCGAAATGTTCTGACCTAATTGATTCTCGAAATAAACAGTTGAAAATTTCAGCTAAATATCTAAATCTCATATTTGATTGATTAAGTTAATTATTACACCTATCGGGAATTTTTTGCAAATTGCCTTAAGGCAAAAAGCCACCTTTGACCACTTTTAAATATTTAATTACCAAGAAATGACCCTACTTTGTCAAAAACTATTCAGCACGGTTCCCAAATGATATCTTTCGAACTGTTTCTATATTTTCGAAAACGGTTTAGTATTTTTGACTAAAACGTACGCAAAAAATGTAGCAGTTAGTTTTCTGGTAATTTATTTACGTAAATAAGTGCACCATGGTGATACCCCGCATTACGTACTTAATTCGTTCCGGGAGAAAATTCGTTGTGCGAAAAGTTTGCTATTCGAAACGCGTTTTTCCACACAAATAAGAATGGACACATGAAATATGGTCATAGAAAATAAGATAATTTTCACATATAATTAAAACATAATTAAAAAAAATATTATTTGTTTACGAAATAAGTTAGTATCAGAGTCGTACTACTTCCTTTTGTGCCATTTTTGTTTCTGAATTTCTAAAGAAACTGTCGATAGTTTTTTTCAACAAGTGTATTTTCACAGCGAAGGTTCACTCTTTGAATTAATTTGAGCAACATTTGTTTTTTCACTACATTTTTTTTTTTTTTTTTTTTTTTTTTTTTAATTTTTATTTTCAATAGCAATCAGAATACATGATTATTCTATGAGCTATTTGGCCTATGTCATTCTCTCACACACATACACACACACTATCAAACACACATATAAATTTATCGGATCAATATTACAATCATATTTAGAGAATCACTTCAATAAGAGATTCAACTGTTCTGTTCGTATAAGGTTGGGTAGTACTAAGGTTCCTCCATATTATCTTCGGGCAGCTTCTTTTTCAGTCTTCTTGAAGTAACAAATGACAACGATTTAGTACGTTGTGTGAAGCAAAGTTTGTTGTGTGAAACGTTTGAGACCGAAAAATAAATTCGTTGTGCGCATCATCATTGTGCGAGGTGAACGTTATGCGGAGTATCACTGTACAGTAGAACCTCGTTTATCCGGACCTCGGTTATACGGATTCGCGATTATCCGGACTACCAACCGCGACCAACTTCTATATATTTACATACCTATAAATACTGTATTTACTATATATATCTACATATCTATTGTATTTCGTTTCCTTGAGCCGCCATATGACAACCGCCATGCTTCGACTCTATCCTTTCCTCCGACAGATGTCCCCGTGGCGCTTTGTTCACTGAACGCACTCGGCGCAATATAGTAAGCACACCTATACTCCACATTCGCGGCCTGCTTCGATTAAAAAGGGTACTCGCCACTTGCATGGCGGGTCGGCTCGCTGCGCTCTCCCACAAAGAGGGCCTTCGTCCGATCGGGTATGGCCATCAAGACATACTCAGTACATAATTTTTGGAAACCGGGGACTGTCGGCTGCCAATATGCACCACATGGCGTCCCCACCACTAGAAACCTCATATTTAACTTCCCGTAGGGCAAGTTATAGTAATCGCGAAAAAATCGAAAATGAAATTTTTGTATATCTTTACGTTTCAAAACCTTCTGAACATTTTGGTATACCTTAGGAAAAATGGATATATGTGTATGTATGTGCGGATACAAATTTTCGGCGATGATTTCGGGTACACGGATTAACCGATTTGAATAATTCAAAAAACATTCGATTCGTATTGATAAGGAGACGTGCTGATTAGTTTTTGGCAAAGGCAGGTCTAGCCGTTCCGAAGATATGGGGCAAAAAGTGCCAAAAACGGTATCTCTGTTTTTAAGAGAACGGAGCGTCCGATTTTAATAATTCAAAAAACATTTTACTTGTATTGACAAGATGAAGAATCGATCAAATTTTCATGAAGGCAGATCAAATTTTCATGAAGGCGGTTTCGGAGATCTAAAGTAAAAAAAAAATACCATTCGGCGGTTAAAAATGATCATTAGACATATGCACATCAAATTATAAGATATTTTATAGAGATTTTAACAATAAGTATAATTTTTTTTTACATTTATATGGGTTCCGTACCAATGCTTATGCGTTAGAGGGCGGCGCGGCACTTGCGAGCTTTGACATTTCGTCTCTATGCAGTTCAAGCAGTGCGATTGCTTTGAAAAAAAGTTCAGATTTTCCAAAATATATCAAAATGAAGAAAACATTTTTCTTTTCAAAAAAAATTTATCAAAAAAAAATTTTTTTTTCCAAAAAAAAGTAATTATTTGTCAAAATTATAGTTAATCGTTTTTAAAAAAATAATAATTTTTGGTACGGGAAGTTCCAGCAATTTGCCTTAAGGCACGATGCCTTAATTGCCTTAAGACAGAATTGGGTTCGTTTGTATATTGTACGGAATCTCACGCTTTATATTATATTTTTTATGGTTGAAAGCAAATTATGTGTGTTACTCTCTTCTACACTATTTATTTGTTATTGTCATTGTTGTAATTTTTCTTTATTCACAATGATAGTTACAAGTATGTCGAATAAATATTGATCGTGAATGGGTAATTAACTTCCGGAAGGAGAAGTTTATGTTTTTATCAAATAATCTCATTCTCTTATTTTATGTTTTTTCGACGTTTCAAGCCATTCTGAATCGAATGAGACCAAATTTGGAAAAAGTATGTCTGTGTGTGTGTGTACGGATAGAAATTTTCGTCGACGATTTCGGGAACACGGATTAACCGATTTGAATAATTAAAAAAACATTCGATTCGTATTTAGTTAGATTTTGATAATTCAAAAAACTTGTATTGAGAAGATAAAAAACTGATTAAATTTTTGGGAAGACAGGTCTAGCGGTTATGGATTCTCAATAAAAATAAGGTAAAAAAATGTCATTTGGCGGTCAAAAATGTTTATTGGACTTATGCACATCAAATTATCAGATATTTTATAGAGATTTTCATAATGTGTACACAATTTGTGTAATTTTTCTTGGGTTCCATACCAAGATTTTCAATTACGGTACGGGAAGTTCCAGCAATTTGCCTTAAGGCACGATGCCATGTACCCCACTAGTTTCAATTGGTTGCCAACACCTGCCGTATACATCATTCACCCGTCTGCACGTGGACGATAATGCGTAAACAAAAGTTTTGGGTGACATAGATAGAAGAGGATCGATGATGATGAAAAATCCAAAAATGGATGGTTGAAAACACACCTGACTCTTTGATTTGGAAAACAACCATTTTTTGTATCAGGAACTATAATGGATAATGGAAAATGCAATGCAATACGAATAAAAAATTGGCGTCTTATTTTTCTTTAAGCCAGCAATCAGATTCTAATAAGTCCTATGAGTTATTCTTATAATACTTCTAATTAATATCAATTATAAATTACACTTATGATGAGTCAAATCTAATATAGAAACAATTGTGACATCCGTACTATTCATGTTCATATTTTCAATTTAACATATTTTTATATTATTACCCAAGATTAATTTTAAACGTCTTGATAAATCTGACCTACATTATATTCTCTTACATATGCTCCGTGCTCATTGTTTTTGTATGCAGTGAAAGTTTTAAAACAATCGCATGCATTATGCATTATTGATCTTAAAAATCTCCACAAATATTTGTATAACCCAAATTAAATTATATTTAAAATAAATAATTTATTATACATTAAAAATAAAAAAGTAATTTAGGTTAAAGTGACTCTAAACGCGAACAATAAATTTGAGTAAGAACTTGATGTCGGGTAGCAGTGATGTCATAAATCAATTTGGAAATACGTACCTCAATTGGAAAGAAGAAGCAGAATTAGTATTTTTTTATAATTACGATTATGAAACTGCTCGGACATTATAAACACTAAATACTAATATGATAAATATAATTTTAATACGCAGTGTCAAAAAGAAATCCATTTTCCATTTCAAAACGAATTTCTTCGTAACTTTTATAATTCTGACAGTCAGAAAACTCATTTCAGAACACACGAATTATTCAAAATATTAAATATATTTTCCGAAACATTTCAACTTCAGGACAAAACAAGTGTTAATTAAAGTTTAATTCCGAAATAAAAAAAAAACAAGGCCGTGAATATTAACTCCGAATTGGATGAGAACGAATTGAGATTTGATGAAGAACGAATTCTTTTTATTTGGCACAACATTTTACATTTTTTATTTGTTTTAATTTAAATATTTAGCAAATAATTAAATTTAATTAATTTATACGTTTTTATGTTCGCAAAATGCAAAACGTACGTTTAACGACTTATGAGTAAAAAACAAAGTTGTAAAAAAGTGAATATTATAACCTAGTCTAAATTTTATGATATGCACGCTTATGCATGTTGTTATATAACAAAAAAGCCTTGAGAGAAATAAAAAAATATTTGCTGATTTATAATAATTTTCCTTAATTTAGATATTTCACAATCTTGATCGAATAATTATTAAGTTTACAACATTTTCACTTTATGTTGACATGTTTTAGTAACATTTTAAAAATACAAAAACCAGGTATTAATTATCTACTAGGGGAGCTTCTCAATGGAGAAGATTCTTACTTGACATTATAATTCATCACAATGACTTTCAGAAAACTATTATATTTTTCTGATTGTCAGAAATAAATAAATTAATAAAAAAAACAGGTATGTCTGCAATCATCCACTTTTATTACATCGGCGATCCATCTATTACATGCCTACCGTAATACAAAACAAGTTGATTAAAATCTGCCGTTAGAGATTTCGCCTTGGAGTACCTTTCAGGTAGATCAGATCTAATTTCGTTTCGTTTGGAGAATCACTAATTAAATCCTGGATGTTAAGTTACTCGAATGAAATTTATAAGTGATGAATAAATTACATGTGCAAAAAGGTGTCAAGATAGGAAGGGATGTAATTAGGCAAATATGGAGCTCTGGAAATTTTGCCAATGAGGAGGATAAGGAATTTTCAAAGGTTTTTATATTCTGCATTGATGAAAAAGCATTTATTTTACATAAGTGGATGAAATTTTAGATAATCTTTAAGTATTATCTGCACAAACGATTTTCAATTAGAATAATCTTTCTGAAACAAAGAGAGGCTTTGGAAAAGCATCGAAGCCTCTTAATAGAGAATCTGAGAACACTTGATGCATTTATATTTTCTAATAATCTGTTGATGGTACTTTTATACGAGGATCTATAAATATATAATATATATATATATATATATATATATATATAATTCTCAAAGCAACTCATCACATAAATATCGAAGACTTTATGAAAACCTTTTTTACCAGACATATCAACATATGATGTTATGTATATTTACTGGAAATAATATCGTTTTTTTTGATGATCATTTTTAATGCATATGATGTATCATCATTTATTTTATTTCTTTTTTGAAGTAGTAAGTTTATTAATTGATCTCGTCTTACTAACTTTCCGTAGGGTAAGTTATAGAATGCGCCGAAAAACGAATTTTTGCATATCTTCACGTTTCAGAGGTTTCTGAACATTTTGGCATACCTCAGAAAAAATGGATGTCTACATTTTTTCATCTACGTTTTTGGGCGCACGGATCAACCGATTGAAATGGTTAAAAAAAATTCGATTCCTATTGATAGGGAAATGTGCTGATTGGTTTTTAGCAAAGGCAGGTCCAGCCATTACGGAGATGCGGAGCAAAGAGTGCAGAAAATACAAATCGAATTTTTGAGAGAACGGAGTAAATCATTCAATTTGTTATTATTGGGAGTAGTAGTGGTGATTAGTTTTTCACAAAGGCAGGTCCACCCTATTATATTATTTTGATTCATATGAGATATATATGACGTTTACCCAGTTTTCGACGTTTTATTCATTTCAGTAAAAATATTCGTGAAACATTCGATTTTTGCGTTAACCTATAAAACCCAGAAATTTCGGGTCTATCCCCAGAGACCTGGGAATCCCCATATGTCGTTAGGATCAGTTTTCTACTCTTGTATTAATACACGTATGAATTTTATCTGAAAAAAAAATATACAAAGGTCACATATACGTATGTGAAGGTGTAATTATCGGTGTTGAATTTATTTATTAGTGGTTTATAATTGAATATTTATATTTATAATTGAATCGTTAAGAATCAGTTTTCTAAAACTTGTAATTATAAATAATTACAGAACTTATGATTTCAAATATATACCAATATCATTGCTGGATAAAATGGCAAAGATATAGTTAGTTAATAATAATATAAATAAACTTATAAAATCATAAACCATCACATTGTATTATTGAATATTTAAAGCTTTTACAAGTAGTAATTCTTAGTAAACTCCTTAAAATTATGGATGAATTTTTAGCTTTACATTTACAATTATAATTATTTTGAAGTTTATTTTTTAAGCATTTTTTTAACAATCTCAAGTGAAAGCAAATATTTTTCTTACATTTTCCGCAAACTGAGTGATTTGTATTGACAAATTGTTAGTTTATTAAC